CCCCTGCACAAGAATGACACGCATAGTCGAGAAATGGTCCCAAAAAAAAAAAAAAAAGTTGAGATATATGCCTTTTTTTTTTGGAGGACGGGGGGGAGAGAGAAGGAGACAAAAGCTCCAATCTATTCGCGGGGACTATCACATGCTGAGAACCGGGCTCAGCGTCCCTTTGAAATACAACTGAGAAAATGTAACACGTTTGAAAGTTCCGGGGCCATTACCCGGCCTTGGCTAGGAAAACAACTAGTCGATTACCAAACCTGCAATAACCTATAAGACACAACTTTTAAAAACAACTGCAGTTCTCAGAAAAAACTGCCTATGATCTACCCAACCGCAATCCAAACCTGGAAACAGAAGATTCTTACTAAAACCTCCTACTATTTACACCTCCCCTTCAACAAGCGAAAAAATGTTAAGTCCAAGCATTTAGTCCTCGTACCAGAACTCAGCTGATCTCATACCCCCCGATGTTAGGGTTACAGAGTAACATAAACTTCCCCAGTACCGACCAGCCTGGTTCAGACGGCAAAGAGTGCCTTCCTCCCTTGACACTCTCGATTAGCCACACGCCCCTAAGTTACAGGGAAAAACCCCCGGCATCAGCTACGTCGGACAAACTGGTTATGCCTTCCTCCCTCAACATAACTCCACAGACCTCTTGCTCCCCCAGGTTACAGAGCAAAAGCTCCAGCACGGGTCTGCGTCGTCCCAGCTTTGTCCTTCTGACCTACTTACTTAGACAAACGTCCCTTCCCATGTTGAACCCCCCGTGCTTCCTCCCATCTCCCCTGAAAGATGTGGGTAGAGCGGAATGCCCTTTTGGGCCGAAATCTTTGTGTTGTGCCCCAGTCAGGCGGGTGTCTAACTTTGCAATCTGGACCTCCCCGTTTGGGCCTTGGCGCTTTTGCAATAGCGCCTAGGAGAAGTTGGCAAGTACTGGGACATTTTGCAAAGTTGGACGGTACCAGCTAGGGGTATATTGCAAAGATGGGGGTCCAATGGACTACAGGGGTATTTCACAAAATATTTTTTGTCAGAGGGGCATTCCGCTCTACCCACATCTTTTAGGGGCATTTTGGCATATATCTCAACTTATGGGGGCATTTTGCAAGTTATCCCAAAGATAAATAAAATAAAATAGAAATTCCATGATCAAGCTGTCAATGCCACATCTGCTGCAGTCGTACGGGACGTCTGTTGAAATGACCCTGTTTTAAAGTTTTTCGAACTTTTTGGTGCGGATCGTGGCTGTTTTGGAGCGGACATGGATGCTCCCACCTGCAAGTTGCAGGTGGTGGATGCACACTCTTCAACACAAAGTTTCTCCTTGTTCTGTTTTTTTTTTTTTTTTAAATACATGCATTGGTACAGATCGTGGCTGTTCTGGAGCAGATATGGATGCTCCCACCTGCGAGCTGCCACTCCTCTTCAACACAAACTTTGTCCTGTCTTTTTTGGGCTGCGCCACCATGCTTTCAGGGATAATTGGTGGAACACTGGAAAGCATCCATGGCGCGCCCAAACTTGTCCCATTTGGCAAGAACGACCTACCAGCAAATGAATCTGGTGCAGATGCAGCGCCAGGTCCATGATCCGGTAGGAAGGGGCCGAACGGTCCGGTCCCAATCTTGGCCTTAAGATTTTAACATCCGACGGCCTGTGTACTCTGTGGGCTCTGCTTGCCGAACGGAAAAAGTTTGGGCACGCGAAACTAAAAAGGTTTCTGCGTGGGCTCTTTCCACGAACTATCCCATGCTTTCAGGCTGTTTTTGTACTTAACACATATGGTGGAAATGCGTTGCCTTCTTTCTCTTTTTCTCTGACAGTGTTTGTTTTTTAATTCATGCATTGGTGCAGATCGTGGCTGTTTTGGAGCAGATATGGGAACCGCCGGGCCGAAGGAAGAAAATCGCCGGGGTTGCTGAACCATTGAGGAAGACCGCTGCGCCGAGTTGCGGAAGAGCGGCCATAGCTGCCGCACTGAAAAAGGAAGAAAGGACGATAACGAAGAGGAAGGGGAGGGGGGGGAGAGAGAGAGAGAGAGAGAGAAGATGTTTGTGCAGTGAAGAAGAAAGTGGAAGCCATAACCGCCGAGCTCGGACCTTATGAAGAAGAAGGAGACCGGAGGTGACGAAGAAGAAGAGAGAAAGGAAGGAGGGAGAGACGAAGGAGAAAGAGGAAGCCATAGCCAAGGTTGGGCGAAGAAGAAGAGGAAAGGGGGAAAGAGAGAGGTTGAAGAAGAAGAACGGTCGGCAGCCATAGCCGGGAGGTTGAAGAAGTCAACCGGCAAATTTTGACCGGAGGCTTTACCAAGTTGACCGGCATTGACCAAGGCCATTGACCGAAGACATTGACCAAGGCCAGAGAGAGGGAGGTGAAGATGTTAACTGAATGGGTGGCCAATCTGGTCCTGGGAGAAGAAGAAGAGGTTATGTTGCTTGTTCCCCAAGCAGAAAGGGAGGCGTTCGTAAGAGAGTTGGAAGCGGAGGAGGACCCCTTGCGCCGACAGGCCAAAGACGAGGAGAAGAGATTGGAGTGGAAGTTGCGCCTTGTGAGGGAGAGAAGATGGCGATTGGAGGCGGTACACAGGATGGAGAGGGAGTTAAGGGCTGTTGAAGAGCGAATGGGACAATTGCGAGCAGAGGCAGATCTTCATAGGAAAATAGAGCTCCTGTCCCATATCATGGATGTGATCTTGAAAGTTCAGCAGGAGCAGCTGCGCTATCTGAGAGGTCAGGACATTGCTTTGCAATCCATGCGCATGGGGTTCAAAAACAGTGCACGAGAGATAATGATGCATGTGGGCGCAGAAGTGCGCGCTGCATTAGAAAACACCGAGAGATTTTGCACAGGCATCATAGAAGGCGCCAAGATAGCAACCCCCAAAGAAGAGGAGGCGCGGCCACGTCAAGAGCGCGTTAAGGTCAAGTTCCCTGAATCCTATAGTGGGAAGAAGGCAGAGGATTTTGATAATTGGGAAGCCAATATCAAATCCTACTTGCACCTCCAGGATATCACACCTGAGAACCATGTTCTCGTGGCCTTTTATGCATTGAAGGAAGAAGCGGCCAGCTTTGCTAGGTCGATTGCACGTGCCGCCAAATGTGACAACGATATGGTCACATACTCTTCGATTACTAACTTAAGTGATTTTTTGTCTGCCCTCCGTGAACGATTTACAGATGTCACTAGAGGTCTCAAGGCGTCTGACAAGTTACAGACTATCCACATGCGACAGTGGAGTGCAGGAGCACTCAAGGCCACCATGGATTAACTTGTCGCTGGTCCTGTCTTGCGTTGAAGTATTCTTGGGGGCCTTAGAATTTAGGCTGGCAGGAGTGAAACGGTTTTCACCTATTACGGTAGAAGATGCAGTCCCCAGGGCTCGATCCCTATACCTCCCCTTTACCCATGTACAGTACCCGTTGACCCGTGTGTGTTTGAACCCGCGACCTGTGTTTTGAAAGTCGTATGTTCAGCTGTTGTATGTAGTGCGGTTGTCGGGTCTTGAACCGTAGGTCTGAGTTTTAGAGGTCTTAGTAGTAGTGTAGGTCGTAGCTGCTACAGTCCCGAAAGGTCAACCTTACGACCTTCCGGAACTTCCAGAAGTGGCCTTTCGTGAGTAGTAGGAGTCAGTCCGCGTCTGAGTCAGCAGGGGGCAGTCCTAGCACAGTCAGCAAAGGGCAGTCCTATTCCTAACTAGCCCAGTCAGCGGTACCCGGTCCCAAGGTGCACTTTGTCCAGTCAGCAAGTACTATGTGGGACTGTGCACACCCCGGGCCCCGTGGTCAAAGGGAAGACCTACGACAATCCGAAGTATAAATAAAGAGGCAGTGTCAAGTCATTCATTCATTCTGCCTGTGAGCCATGCGGAAGTGCTGTCTGTGTGTCTTGTGTACGAAGGTCTGCAGGTGCCTGAAGGAGAAGTGGGCTAAGAGGAGGAAGACGCGGCCATAGCCATGAGGTAGCCAGTAGGAGGAAGAAGAAGGCAGCCATAGCTGCCGTAGGTTAGTGGTAGAGAGTTAGTCTGTGTGTAGTGTGTGTGGGGGGGACATCCAGGGTGATCCTAGAGTGAGTGTGTGTGTGTGTGTGCAAACAAGTTGCTGGGGAATACAGTTGATCGGTTGGGAATCTTTGTCTGGTGTTGGCGCCATAGCCGTTCAAGACAAGTTTGAATCTGAGCTGTGTTCCTGGCTACATTTATCTCTGGGCTTTCTGTGGGCGCTGTTGCGCCAGGTGTGACCGTCATCTGTTTGCATGCATGCTGAGCTTAAGGAAGACAAGTCTGATTGCATATTTAGCATTGGAGGGCTTCTCTCTCAGGCTTACGAGAGACCGTACTCCTAACGGAGAAAGGAAAGATGAGTGACAGAGGGGCCATCCTGTGTCCCTCCTTGTCACAGCCGGTGGAGGAGGAGGATGAAAAACATGAGCTCTTGTCTTCGGTCGGGTCAATTGTTAGCCGTCCAGTATTGTTTGATGTCACATTTGTATGCAAACATGGAAGAGAGGTGCAGGCAAATAGAGCATTGTTAGCAAGTAGGAGTGAGTACTTCTCCAAACTTCTGTACGGGGATATGAAGGAGAGTTCGATGGACAGAATACCTCTCCCTGATGAGACGGCAGACAGTCTTCAGATTGTGATCGGTTATCTCCATGCCCATAGCTTCACGTGGAAGAGCCGCACTTGCTGGAATGAAATGGTGGAGGTGTACTGCCTGGCAGCGCAGTACCAGGTCGATCTCCTCTGCCAGAGGATCTTATTCATGGTGCAAACTCTTGTTTATGCATGTGAATTTGGATGTCTGCTCAATGTGGCGATCCCAAGGCATGCCAAGGAGTTGCTGAGGGCTGTAGTCAAAGTAATGAACAAAGTTGTGGTATTCTATTCGACGTCATTCCGGGGATGCAGCAAAGAGAGCATCGAATACTGACTCAAAAAGGTGTGATTCCATCCAAATATAGCGGAGACAATGGTGGCCGAGGCTGTTCTCTCTGCAGCATCCAACAACGGCAGTGTTGCTGATGAGGGAGAGACTTCAGAGGATCCATCTGTTGTGGGGGGTTCTACCGCTGACGGGTCTGGTGCCTCTTCCACAGTAAATGTGCCAAATTGTTCAGGAGGTGAGAAAAACTGCGATGAAGTCGCAGAAGTGTCCCTCTCGAGGGACGACCTGCAAGAAATATTGGAATGTTTTGCGGCCAGAAGTGCTCACCGCAGTTCACAGAGCACAGTCCATATTCTTCTCAAGAGGACTGTCGACTAATTCGTTGTTCACTGTACCGTGGCGTTCTCTAAATCCCAGGGTGTCATTTGCACCAGTGAAATCACCGGGGGGTGCGATTTGCAGTGCTTATGCTGAGGTCTCACCGCCATCTCTATGGAGCTGTGATCCCAAACCCAGCTGTATAACTGTACAGCATCTACCACACCAAGTGCAGCGCATAAGTGAAGATAATGTGACCAATGTAATACTGCCGTTACCGCTTGACAGTGGAGTGCATATATGGAGGGTCTGAGCAACACATTGGATGATCGTTTTGGTGCCAGCGTTGTTTTGCCGACTGAACCAGACAAATCTGGTAAGCGAAAAGTGATGGACTGCTGGCTCTTCTATGGTGGCTTCAAAAAGAATTGGCGTACAAGATGCGCATTGTCACAAAATTTTCTTTCCCACTCTTTGGATGCTGTGTTTGTGATATTGGACATGATGGAGCGATCACTGACTTTTGCCAATACTCTAAAGCAGTACCTCAATCACAAGGGAGAATATCCTGTTGCCTTTACTGATCTTCCATGTGATGCGCCACTATACCCGGCTGTGTGTATGGAGGAACCCGGTTCTGTTGAGAAAGAGTGGATTCAAAGTTCTCCACGTGCACAGTCAGTCCGTCCACTCCAAGCTCAAGATTCATATGTTTCCCAATCTTCTTCGGGCCCTACTCTCTGGCCTTTCGCCTGACAGTGTGTCCTTTCCTTCTAGGTATCAAAAGATGCAGGACCCCACAGTGAAGTCATCAGGTTATCTGCGCCCATTGACTGCTTGGATGTGTCTGGCCAACCACCCTGTATGATTCTGGTAAATGGAGCACATCATTGTTGAGCTGCAGACAGTCAATCTTTCGTAGGTGTTTGTCGGGAAAAATATTCGCAGATGTACTATATCTGATGCATACACTACAGACTCATGTGAATGTGTGTGTGTGTGTGTGTGTGTGTGTGCGCGCGCGCGCGTGAGAGAGAGAGAGAGAGAGAGAGAGAGAGAGAGAGAGAGAGAGAGAGAGAGAGAGAGAGAGAGAGAAACAAACAGACAGACAGACAGATAGAGCAACCTACTCGGATATCCCTTTCAGGAACCACCATGGAGGATCCTAGAGAAGTGTGCATATCTTGAAATGCTCACCTTCATGGAGTTTTTTCTGAGTTGGAAAGGCATTATGGATGGCCGTGCTGACCATGGAGTTGAAGGGGGCACAGCAGCGAAAACGAGGTGAGCAATTGCGAGGAGTTGACATCTTGGTGAGGCAGCGCCCATGCAGGTGTACTTGATCGTTCACGGTGCAGAGGCGGCATAGATCTATCCCGATACTGACGACATAAGCATCTCAATTCCTCGGCGAGACTATCCCCGCAGTGACTGTGAAACAATATTGGGAGTGTACAGTTGGTTTGCACTTCATGTACAATGTAAAATCCTAAAATGCTGGAGTGTTTTAACTCAGTTGTATGGAGCAGATATCTGGTGAAGTGTTCACGCTATCTCAATGGAGTTGGGAAGTAATCTGTCATGTGGAATGGGGGTGTTAAAATGAAGGAAGCAATCAGCATCCTAAGTGTGAAGTACTATACGATGAGGCGGAGTTGAGCGACTGTAGGTTCTTCAAAGGGAGTGGGTATGTGAAAGAAGCGAAGACTGGGCTTGCTTGCTTCTTGAAAGCAAACATCAATATTGGTAAAGAGTCATGTGATTTCAAACAACCCTTGGGGAGGGGATGTACATCATGGACTCCGGCTGAGCGAATTCCATCTACAAGTAAGCAATCACCAACCTCACGAAGGGATCCAACTTTCTTGGTACTAGGCAAAAGATCACAGTGAACGAGTGTCTGGTACCAATCCAGTTTCTTGGAACTACTAGGGGAAAGATCATAGTGGGGACCACCACGTAGAGGGGACAGCTTCTGCGGTACTAAGTGGTGGTTGTGGTCCTTGTAGAAGAACGGTTTGGGCATTACCAATGGTTCGGGCCAGTGGCCACGCAGGTGGCATTCACGAGGTCGCGGGTTCAATTCCCAATGGCCATCTGCTGCCAGTGCAGCGTGCTCGCTGCTCACCAGCTGAGATAATTGGCTTTCCCCCCCTTATTAGTCGGTCTTGGTAGGGTCCTGGGTTCACTTGGAGGCCCTCGCCCCTGCCATTCCTCGCTGGGGTTAGCTTCTAGGTTTGGTAGATCTTGGGTGTTCCCTCTACCCAGTAGATCTCGGCTTCTCCTTCTTGGTATACTTAGGCATATAGGTAGGTAGTGTGAGGTATACTTGAGTGAGAAAAACACAAGAAGGAAAAAAAAGGACGTGAACGGTTTCTAGCAGGTGCAGCTCCCCACCAATAGACAGGAGTCACCTAGGGGATTGGTACCCGGGGTCCCTCTTATCACTGCGGGCAACACCTCCCCTGGTGTTATATATATTTTATATATATATATGATGATATATATATATATATATAAGATTTGGGGCATTGGTCGGCAATCAGGACGAGAACGGCATATGCGCCGAACAGTGAGCTGTGACATGCAATGCCACAAAGGTGGACCGCCTGCAGTGGACGCCATATTACTGCCGCCATGGCAATCAGGGGTAGGCTTGAAGAATCGGGTTATGGGTCATGGCGGCAGAATGAGGCGGGCCTGAAAGGGCAGCGCAAAGGTTGCAGTGGACTGCATATTACTTGCCAATGGGCCTTTTCTTGCCGGTGTTTTTTCACAGAAAGAAATGATCGTGCATGTGACGGAAAGCGTTTGAGCAGCGTATACGTATAATATGTGGTGTGGTCTCGGCGAGAGCACAGGGCAGTTCTGGGTTTACTATAGGGGCAGTGAAAGCCTACTTTCATGCAAAACCTGACTATCGTTGTGCAAGAAGATGTGAAAAGGAGGGCCCGGGCCAGAGGAAAGTGAAACTTCGGTGGTTGGAGCGAGGGAACCCTTAAGGGGGGATGTCCTTACTGTTACTCAAGAAACAGGTGCCTGTGTTTGGGCCATTCGCGCAACGACACGAAGGAGCCCCATGGGGATATTGAGACTGGAAATGCAGATGCTGAATGGACAACACACAGAACAGAGGTGGCATTTACAAATAT